CACTGGGACCGGGAGAGCAGTCTAGCTGGGGAGAGGAACTGCTTAGAGTGGCCACAGCAGACTGCCTAGCTCAGATGACGCCAGGAGTGAATGGAAAGCCGTGGTGGTGTGCAAAGGACCAGAAGATGGTCAAGGCCTTAATGTGAAGATCTCTGGTGCTGGAGTCCTTATTCACAAGTGATTCCAACCCCACTATTCCACAACCACGGTCTGAGACACAGAGTGCAGAGAGCTGTGGAAAGGAGGGCGGGCAGCAGGAAGACAGTGCTGTGCAAGGATGGGGATCAGCTTTTTCAAAAAGGAGGTGCACAAGGTGACAGCACATTGGGGTGGCGGGAGGGGTTGATGGGTAGGAAGTAATTCCTAGCAAACAAGTTTGGTTTTAGAAGACTCCTCAGAGAACAAACAGTTAACTACCACTTGAAACTCCAAAAATTCATGTTTCCAAAGGTAACTAACTTACTGAGTCATCGAGAAAACCATCAAGCAAATGTCACAGCAGTGCCTGAAAGGAAGCAGGCACGTACACGCTCGGCCTGGCTGGATAAGGATGGAGAGCTCCTTATCTCTGCACATCAGGGTACAGGCTCAGTTACCACCTCTTGCTGGAAACAGAGAGCAAAGCTTCCCCTGCTGACAAACACGCATTAACACTGCACCATTAACATTTAAACTCCTTGACGTTCCTCCACTTAATTGAAAGGGAGGAAATAGGTTCCTCGACCTCTCTTCAATCCAAAACAGTGTCTGTCATTTTCATTACTGGACGATACAACTGTGTGCTGCACCATGTAATAAGCATCCATCTTCTTTACAGCAGGTCCCACAGCAAATAAAGCACCCCTGGGTTATAATTTTCAGTAGTACACAAATAATACCCATAATAAATTTAAAACGGTATCATGCCACTCAATCAAAGAAATAGAAAACAGCTGGAGGGGGAAAAATGGATCCTGGACTCTTATACTATATTGATACATAATGGTGAGCAAGGCAATTACTTATACAGAGTCATGTAATTGCTCATTTCAGAATTATTGAAATCAATTTCTGAAACTAAGAAAGACTAAGGCAAAAACAGAAAAAAAAAAAAACCAGAGAGCAATGTCTTCCAATGATGACTTCATCATCTCTTAGGATTCATAAATACATTGGCCGACATGAGCATATTTTGTATTTTTATAAAGCAAGACTCGATCAAGTCTACAAAACATCTAACAATTCTTTCGCATGTCTTCTACAACATCTGCTGGATTTCTCAAAGCCATCCAGGAACAAAGGGAGAAATGAAGCAGGGGAGAAGGGAGGAGGGAAGGGGAAGGGGAAGGGGGAGAAGAGGGAAGGGGAAGGGGGGGAGGAGGCAAGGGGAGGAGGGAAGGAGAAAGGGAAGGGGAAGGGAAGGAGAAGGAGAAGGAGAAGGGGAAGGGGAAGGGGAAGGGGAAGGGGAAGGGAAAAGGGAAGAGAGGGGAGGAGGAAAGGGGAGGAGGAAAAGGGAAAGGGAAGGGAAGGGGAGGAGGAAAGAGGAAAGGGAAGGGAAGGGGAGGAGGAAAGAGGAAAGGGAGAGGAGGGAAGGGGAAGGGAGGGGAGGAGGGAAGGAGAAGGGAGGGGAGGAGGGAAGGAGAAGGGAGGGGAGGAGGGAAAGGAAGAGGAGGAGGGGAGGAGGGAAAGGAAGGGGAGGAGGGGAGGAGAAAGGCAGGATGGTGAGATGGAAGGCAAGGCCTGGGTCTCACTCAAGAACTCACAAGCAGACACATGAGTTGTAAGAGATTCATTGGCGCTAAAGAGAAGGTGCCCTCACAGCAGACCCAGGCTGCAGTGTGCTGCCTTGGGCACTTTGTACATCAGTACAGAGTTTTCCAGGTACAGCCGGGCTTTTCCAGCCTCCAGGGACAGGGAGGGCCGTGACCCACTACGGGTGACCCAGGGCCAAGGGTGGGCGTAACCTCCAGAGGACTGCCGGCTCTGGGAACAGTCCTTGCTGGGGGCCAGTGGTCACGGCGCCACGGGCTGTTTCTGCTATGGTCAAGCATGGCTCCGGGTTGTTTGGGAGGCGGGAAGTATGGGTATTTGGCAACAAGCCCCTGGCTATGGTACTGCGTCTGTGGCTTTATTATTCCCTCCCCATCTGAGGGCACTCAATTCCTGGGTCACTTTCTGTTCGGGAGATAACATGGCAGTCATTTACAGCTAGATTCTGATTCCGTTTTCTGGGCAGGAATTGGCAAACTGGCTTACAGCCCAAACTCTGGCCCACTGCCTATTTTTCTGAATAGTATGTTATTAGAGCACAGCCATGCTCATCTGTTACCTTCTATCCCCAGCCCTGTCACACTACAACAACAGTTGGAACTCTCGATCCAAAGCCTGAACAACTTTGTAGCTGACCCTTCACAGAAGTCTGATAACCCCGTGAGAGCTACAAGCTCCCCTAGACACTGGTTAAATAAAACAGATCAACACCACAGTGAAACGGTAATCTGACATTTACTGAGAGTTTCTAATGGTCTTATAGAGATATTTCAATATAATGCTATGATTTAAGTACATGAAATGGTAAATACAGTCTTCATGGGGGGGTGGGGGGGAATTGGTAATCAGTACATCCAAAAATTGATACTCTGAAAACACCAATAAATACTGTCTCACTATATCCTCTTAAACCTCACTTTAAAGCTTGTTTTTAAATTCAGCTGTTACAAGGAAGTACGCATTTCCCCACTGCATCCACTCGACAAAGGCCCCATTCGGTCCAATTTCAAGACCTCAGTAAGACACAAAGTGCTTCCTTGTAATAGATATGCGCACCTGAGACTGGACTCTATCACCCCACGCCTGGCTGTCTGAGGATCATTATCCTCACTGTGATGTACTGAGTTCTAAGTCCATTTTATGATAACTGAATTAATTCGATCTGTTCTACACTGTCCTTCCTACTAAAACTTCACTCTGCTGTCACTCCAGAAAGGACCTTAGGGAGCTGGGACTATAATGCGCTGTGTGTTGGGGGAGGGGAGACACATCCACCTCCGATTGGAGGTAGGGCTGCTTTACAACACACAGGACCACCAGGCATCCACATGGAAACCACCTCCTCAGGAGCAGCAGCTGCCCGGGAGCAGAGGCTCGTCTGTGCCAGCTCGGGCTTGGAGAACAGAAGATCTGCAGGTGCGGGGAGGGGAGATGGGAGGCTCAGCAGCATGGAAGATGCAGCAGGTATAGACATCGGTGACGTTACACCAATGTTCTGTTCCCTTGGCTCATATCCTCCCCAGACCCGCACGAGGACCGAGTGCCCACTCCCCACAGGGTGAGCAGAATCTGATGGCAGTTGGTGCACAGTGCCACTGTGGGGCTGTCAGGCCCAGAGACAGTGACGCTGGAGAACATAAGGAAAGAGGCAGGCACAGGTGCAGACATGCAGCCAGCTCTGTGGAGACCTGCTGCACCCGCAGAAGCCCCAGCCCCAGCTACATTGTGCTTTCCTGCTTCGTTCTTGTCCCAGATCAGAACTGCCCTGATCTGATGGTCTGACTGGCACAGAGGGCTGCACACCTGTATCTGGGTCACTGGCCTCACCCTCCTGCATCCGTGTCGTAGGGCTCACCACAGTCCCAGGCGGTCAGGTCATAAGAGCACCTGACAGTCTGGTCGGGCCTCCTGGTCTGATGGGGCTGACACCCACCCTCAGGACATAGCGTGTTCCATGAGGACCTGTCTGTGTGCGCCCTGCTCCCCACCGACAGCACACACAGCTTTCACTTCTGGCTCCTGTGGGGAGCTCTCTCTCAGACCACTGTGGTCTGCAGGAACTTTCCTGTCCTCTGGGAACACAGTAGCCCTAGGTACCATAAATTCACTTAGCCCTGGATCACAAATTGCCAGCAAACGTTCAGACTTCCTTTGTTTGTATAAAGTTCCCAGTTAAAAGTATGAACCTTCAGGACACATCTTATCTGGGCAGGGACACTGGGTGTCTGTGCAGTCCCTTCCCTGGCAGGCTCAACAAGGCTGTGAGGGCAGCTGTGGTAGGGAGAGCTCAGGCAGCAGAGATGCAGCTGGTCCCCCTCCAGGCAGCCCCTCTCCTCTCCATCTCTGACACTCTAATGCTACAGGAAGGCCTGGCAGTAGTCTCAAGCCCTGGGGTTGGGAGGGTGGGAACGGGAAGCCCATGGCCAAGGGTGATGGCCCAGCTGCTTCTTTCCTCTCTTCTCCCAGGGGGATGAGACGCTCTAGGCCTTTGCTGTAAATAAACAGCGAAACCATGTTCCTCTAACTCAGCCATTCTGCAACCTCAGGCTCCCCACTCCAGGCTGGTGGCCCCCAGAGGGGTTTCCCAGGACCCCCAGGGCCGTCCCAGCCCCCAGCGCCCACACTCCCAGCAGCTTCTCTCCATCTGGAGAAAGGACCAGGAAACTGAATCTGGGTTGCTGGTAAACCTGGATGGAGAGCCCATGGAGGGTGCAGTGTGCCAACACAACTGCCCGGTGAGAGCGGCGGCCCCTGGAGAATGTTTCTCCCCCAGCTGGACAACACTGCCCCACGAAGGCTTATCAGCGCATGCAAAATGGGAAAGCAAGTCCTAAGCGTGGTGGGACAGCCTGGGATGTCGGGCTGGAGCAGCCATCGCCCACTGCGGTGTGCCGGCCCCGGGGCCTCAGGCAGGCTGCCTGGGGACACCACAGTCCAGCAGTGTGCTGGACTCTTCCAAAGAACGGTGACGGGAAGCAGATCATAGCTTGCTTTCTGGTTTTTTTTTTTTTTTTTTTTTACTAAGAATAAATTGAAAGATTATACTTCAAGCAAAGAATGAAATGGCTTTTTTCCCATAATAGCCTTTTCCTCCCAAATGAAAGTGCGCTGCCAGTAAGGCCAATCTTAGTGCCACCTAATACCACTTGCACATGAGCAGGGGTGTGTGCGGGGGATTCTGGGAAGCCACCCGGCAACAGACGGCCTGGGCCGGGCTGGGAAGCGCGCTCGCACCGCGACAGGGCACTTACCAGCGCAGGGCAATCTTGATGGGGGTGGTGAGGCAGGACGTGAACAGGTCGGCTGGGAGGTCGGGGATCATGGGCAGGAGCTCGTGGGCCTCGCAGGCCGCCAGCTGGATGCAGTTCTTCATCGATGGGGGCAGGGGCATCTGGGCGAGGGGGTGGTTTGGGTTAATCGCGGCTACCTACGGGGAGAATGCAGGAAAAGACAGGCTTAGCTGGGGGTAAGGAGCTGGAGGGCCTATGGCAGTGGGGTTTTACCACACAGTTGTTCGGGGAAGGCCTAACGGTAGAATCCTCTCCTGGAAAGTGAGTACGAGCCTGGGAACCTCCCAAGAATCACCCCCAAGATCCTTCTCGCAGCAGAACATGGCTCTGCACAGCAAGCCTGCTTCCTTTGTGGTCCTGCCTGGGTGACCCTCAGGCCCCCCACACCCAGCCCCTGCCGGCCCTGCAGAGTGTTTACACTCAGCACTCCATCTTTAAGCTAGCACAGTCTTATTTAGGTTGTTTATGACAAGAAAGACGCTCAAGGTATTTGAAGTCAACAACAAAGGCAAAACAGAAGATGTCAAATGACAGCTGGAGTGTGCCCGCCACTCCTCACACCCTGAGACCGAGGGACGCAGTGTGCCAGCACAGCGGGCAGGTGGGGCATTTGCTCCTAGGGTCACCTGACTTCTCTGCCTGTTCTATACACGGATGTTCATTGATAACAGATAGGGGATAATCAGCTGCTTGACAGTCACCTGGATACCGTTTTGTTGCGGCAAAGGCGGTGTCACCGAGGTCTGGGAAGCAAGGCTCCAAGCTAATTAGTGCACAACAAGAGAATGCACACTTCTATTTCCTGACTTAATAGTCTAGTTAAAAGTGTCAATCTTGTTTTCTTGCTTGCTCTTTGAGACAGAGTCAGGGCCTTCAAAGCTGGCCTTGAAATTGCAATCCTCCTGTCTCAGCCTTCTAAGAGCTGGGACTGCAGGTGTGTGCCAGCACACCCAAGCTGCCGAAGGGCTCCATCTCTTCACTAATGCAGCAGTCAAGTGTTTAAGCAGACGAGAGGCCTGGCTGACGCTTGGCTCACCCAAACTGTCAGAGAACTCCCGCGTGCCCCCCAAGCAGCGGCACCCAAACCAACACCAGGCCGGACACCGTGAGCAAGGCAGCAGGGCTACCTTCCTCTGCTTCGCCCATGCCACCTGTGACCACACCGGAACCTGTCACAGGCCTGCGTGTCATTTTCAGAAAGAGAGCCCACGAGGTTTCACAGGGAGTGTTCTAGGCGTGATGCCGGGGGTGGGGTGGGGGGGAGCGTGTGGGCACATGGCTCTGCCCCTCCGGGGAGCGCAGGTCGCACCTCTCATCCATGAGGTCCCTTAGCTTGGAGAGGAAAGCGCGGGCGGCGGCCTCGGGACCTGGGACGGTGCAGAGGAAGGGAAGCCCCAGGAGCCCGAAACCACTCATCAGCCCACCAGAGAAAAGCGGCCTGCAGGGCAGGAGCAAAGGAAGGAAAAAGCCTGAAGATGAGGTGGGTGGTGGGCTGCTGGAGAGACATTTGCATTTTCATCCGTTGGCCTAAATGACAATGCTGAAGAATAACACATAGGTAATGAAGATAATGAAACATTAACCCAGAAAATCCTGACTACACACTTGCCCACACAGCCCTCGGGAGCCGCCCCCCCATCTCCCCTTCCCTCACCGATGTGTTCCATACACATCATTGGCCATAATGAAAAGTTATGCATTATGGAGCCCCAGTGTAATTCAACCCATCTTGGTTAGGGATTTGACGGAACACAGCTCCATCTCAAATCTGATCAGATGAAGCTGAATGCCAGCAAGAACCCGCTTCTATGTGGCTTTTATTCACGGTGCTGCTCTCCAGCAAGGATCTGGAGAACAGCACTGTGGGCTGCTCATCATCTGCCTCCAGGGCTTTTGTTACTGGTTACTTAAGTCCAGCCCAGGCTTGTGCTGTAAAGTCCATGGGGCAGAACCCACTGCACACCGACCGGAGCAGTGGGAACGGCGCAGGGCCGGGCTTCCGAGGCAAGTGGGGAGCCTGCATTTCTAAGCAGGGTGGTACACATCTGCCTCGTGACTTGCAGAGACTGCGTCCGCATCATCGTTTTCTTCCCTCCTTACTGGCAGTGCCTTCTAGTTGCATAGTTGGTAATATTTCTCAGCATTCTTTTGCATATTGGTATGCTCATTTGCTTTAAAACACCCTCACGAGGTAAATCCATTCTCAAAGATGTTCGGCAATGAGGAAATGGGCTTCAGGAAAGAAAACCACTGTCTGTCTGTCTGTCTGTCAGGTTAACACAGACCAGGGAGGCCAGCAGTGGCTCCTGACTGTGGGGCACTCTTCATTCCTCCATCTTATCTGGACCTCCATGAGTCTATTCCAGGCACCTAGGATACCAAGGTTCCAAACAGCACATTCAATACCTTCAAGTGCAGTGTTTCGCAACATGGGCTGGCTCCTGACCAGCCAACCTGGTGACAAAGGTGTGTAACGCACTGTCATCATTTTTTTTTTGTGCCAGTCGTGGGGCTTGAACTCAGGGCCTGGACTCTGTTCCTGAAAAAGCCCCTTCAGGCTTTTTCTGTGTATGTGGCACTGAGGAATCGAACCCAGGGCTTCATGAGTGCTAGACAAGCATCCTACCACTAAGCCATATTCCTAGCCCCTGCACATTTATGTTTGCTGTAGTGTGTAGCATCTCAATCTGCTCAAATGGAATGTGCTAACGGCTGCATGTTTATTAATAATCATTTCTACTACAGAAACAGAAAACCCAAAGTACAAATCAAATACTTGTATATGCAATAGCAAAACCCATATAAATAAATATTTTAATAAAAACTGCCATTTCTACGTGTAATATATTTTTTTCTATGTGTAATATAAAATGTGCCATGCTAACGTGTGTCTGTCTGTATGTGTGTGTGTGTGAGGGGGAGGAGGGGTGCTGGGCTAGACAAATATATTCTAGCCCTGTGCTAACAATTTTAAATGTACAGTTCCAAGTTTGGTGGCATTAAGTACCACCAACACTTAGTGGATTTTTTTTTCTTTTTTTAAAGATGAGAGAAGGCAAGATTGCGTGTAAAACCATTTTCTGGGCTCTGGCTTTATAAGCTAAAATAGATCAACAAAGCAACTGGCTCTGCACAGGAAATTAGTTTCTGGTCTGTCGCATCAACCCTGCTATGCAGGCTGATGGGTCTGGGCACGATCTCATCCACAGCTCATCAGTCCTGAGTCATGCGGGGGCCACGCAGAAGCTCTGGCGTCTACGGCAGCATCAGAGTATGGCCCTCAAGTCTGGCCCTCTAGGGCTGGTGGGGTCGCTCAATGCCTGGGCCTGGTGGAAGAAGGCTGGGAGGAGGGAACGAGGTGACATCTGCCCCGCGTGGGCTCTGGGAGGGCTGGGCACACTGCAGCAGACCCAGGTAGTCGTGAAATGTGAAAGGTAGCCTGAGAGATGTCTGGAACTGCTGGCAGACTGACATTATTTTAATAAGCATCACTAACTACCACTGGGCCTAGAAGTATAAAGACGGCTGGCATGATTAAAAGGGACTTAACTGTAAGTGGGCAGCAATGGCCACTTATGCAACAGCTAAACTCAATATTCTTATTTTCCTTTTTAAAGGGCCAGGTATTCTCATAGCATAGAGTGAAAGGAATAGCGGTGTGCTCGCTAGTGTCTCTGTGAAGTTCTTCCACATGAAGTTTACTCACTAAACAGAGCTGAGAATGCCCCACAGTTCCTCTTGCCACAAACTCCGAAGATGGCAGTTCTTTTGCCTTTGCTGTCTGTCTGCACAAACCTTCGGGAAGCTAATCCTCTAAAGAACCAGAGCAGCTTCTGACACGGGGCCTCTGCCAGGCTGCAGGCCTGGTGGCGCTGTCAGACACGTGCCTAGCTGGCTGGAAGCTGGCCGAGGCTGTGGTGCTGGTGGGTGAGGTGTATTGCACGGCTGTCTGCACCTCACCCGGTGCAGAACCGGGGGTAGAGAGACACCCTGCACTGCTGCCTGCTGCCTGAGAACACAAGACAGGAAGGCGCAGAAACATTTCCAACCCAGTGTGTGCATTAGGAACAGAATGTATGAAAAACCACAGACGGAAGGCCTAACCACGCACACAGCCTGGGGAGGGGCTGGGTAGGAGGGAAGGAAGGCATGCTCTCGGGCCACAGGTGATCCTAAGTTCAGCAGCACAAAGCACCAGTGCCCTAGACCTGATGGTATCTGTCTGCTGGACTCAATGGGGTGCATTCACCACCCACACTATGGCCAGCTGCTCCAAAACACACAGCAGAGCTCTGCCTCTGGGGCAGGCAGACGCGAAGCCTTCAACAGCCACTACAGAAACACAGGCTGGCATTCTAGGAAAGGGTTCTGCCAATGAACATTACTTCTCAGTCTTGCTAAAATACAAAAAAATCCCATTCCAATCCAAGTCACTTCCTACACATGGTTTCAGCTTCGATGTGTCGAAGGCACTGACCCTTTAATTGAAACAATTCTCCAAAAACAGCTTGCAGGCTAAGGCTAACTGCTCTCACTTGCTTGGAAAGGCCGCTGGGCAGAGCAGAGCCGTGAATACTCAGGCTGTAGCAATGCTCCACAGAGCTGACCAAGCACACGTCCACGCGTGCAGCACCGCTGCCAAAGAGCCTTCTCCCAGAAAAATTGAGAGGCTTGAGCACCGGAATGATCTTCATTCTAAAAACTCCCCGAGACTTCTGGAGGACTTGGGAAGCACCCAGGAGAAGCTCTAGATGTGATTCTCTGCAACAGCCGTGACCCCTGCTGCCTTGCCCACACCCCTGGGCCCCATGGAGCCCGGGGCTCAGGCTCGCGAGGAAGCAAGCAGGTGGCTTCCAGGCCTGTGGCCGCATGCTACAGATGCACGTCCAGCTCAGGGCAGCACCCACACTTTTCTTTTCCGAACTGGCCACTGGCCTCAAGCCACTTCTGCCCCCTTTCTCATGCATACAAGAGACGTGTTTGTGGAGACTTAGGGGCACCCATAATTCAGGAGTCTTTAACAAGTGAAGGGACTCAAGACTATCATCTCTTGGACGATACTTTGAGCTCTGCCTTAAACCAGCCTTGTTTCCATTCTCATTTCAACAACATGTCATTACAGGGGACCGTGTACAAA